TGCTTGTAAAAAGCTTTGGTCTTAATATCTTCCTTAAGATCACCAATGATATGCTCTGAAGGATTATTTTTTACTGCTAGACGATGCGACCCACAAGGCTCTCTCTTCTCATCAAAAGACCGATCTACTTGTTTCGACGCTTCAGGTTAAAATGACTCGTTGGTTGGTTTCAACGCTTTATTACTAATTTGCATATCTACAAAAGCCTCGTCTTGCTCTGACATTTTATTGTCAAACTCAAAATCGTTAAACTTAACGTGAATGACTTCTTCTACCTTTCAAGTTCAAGAGTTATAAACTTTAAATGCTTTAGAGGTTTTAGAATAGCCAAACATTGTTCCTTTATCACTTTTAGAGTTAAACTTTCCTAAACTATCTTTGATATATAGAATATAGCATTCACACCCAAGGGGGTGAAAGTAGGAAATGTTGGACTTTCTGTTCTTCCATAATTCATATGGAGTTTTGCTTAAGACTGCCTTAAATAAATCCTATTTTGAAGATAACAATTTGTATTAACTACTTCAACCTAAAAGTGTTTAGGGGTGTTCAAATAATTTAACATAATTCTGGTCATTTCTTCTAAAGAACGATTTTTCCTCTTAATGACCCATTTTGTTATGGCGTCCTTGAAGTTGAGAAATTGTGGTTAATGCTAGAGTTTTCGCAAAATTTTTAAAATGTTCATTTTCGAATTCCCTACCATGATCACTTATGATTGAAATGATCTTATTATTACCATTTTTATTTTATGTCTTCTTGTAGAGTTTTTTAAAAGAGTCGAAAGCTTTATCCTTATGGGTTAAGAACTTTTCTCATGTCCATCTAGTATAGTCATTGACTACAACTAGTTATAGTGTTTACCACTTACAAACGTAGTTCTTATAGACTAAACAAATATAAATGAAGCAGCTCATGAGGTCTTTCAGTATAAATTACATTTATACTCTTAAAAGACTCTTTGAATTGTTTGCCTTTCACACATGTATCACAAAAAGACTTTGTCGTTGAATGACAATTTAGGCAGTCCTCTCACGAGGTCATGGCTTTGCAACTTTGAGATTAATATCATATTTGAATGTCTATATATATTATGACATATCATAATCTCGTCTTTTATGGATACAATACATGAAACACTTTTAGCATGTAGTTCATTTAAATATATTTTATACAAGTTTCCCTATCTCTTAGCAGAAAATACTAATAGACTATTATCGTCTAAGACTTTACTTTGACCTTTTTCAAAAACAACATTATATCCACTATCACATAATTTACTTATGTTAAGCAAATTATGTTTAAGGTCATCTACTTATAAAACATTATCAATAAAGGCGAAAAAATTTATACTTATCCTTCCAATGTCTATTATTCTTCCTTCATTTTCATTGAAGGACATTATTCCTCTCTTCTTATTCTTCAAGCTGTGGAACATACACCTTTCTCTCGTCATGTGGCATGAGCACCCATTGTCCAGATACCATTACATGAGTTTCTTTTCTGTGATCAAGCATATCCACAAGAGAAATTATTTTATTTTTAAGTACCTATCTTGGATGGGGTCTTATCTTGTTAGCTTTAGGCACCTTTTTTTAGAAGTAGATGCATAACAATTATTTTCTCATTAACTTTAATAAAATAAGCAGATTTATTTTTAGTCATAAAATGAGAGTTTTTGCCTTTAAAACCCAATCTTCGTTTATCAAAAGAGTGTTTGCAACCTTTGATTAGGAGTCCTAAATGTTCTTTGCCTTCAAACGTTCTGTTTAACACCATGAATAAGGTGTCATTCTCACGTTGAAGCAATTCGATGCATTTAGCATCCTTAGCAATAATTGAGTTCTTCTCAAATTTCTCTTTTCTTGAAATGAGATTTTCAATTTCTCTTTTAGACTCAACTAGCTTCCTTTCTAGGTCACTATTACTCTGTTTCAAATATTTCGTTTCGTCTCTAAACAATCTCAATTCATTTTTCAAAAGTTCATTTTCTTTTGAAAATTTCTTATTTTGTTTCCAAAGTTGTTTGAAAGCTTATGATAATTTCGAAGAGTTACACAAAAGCTCATTATAAGCTTGAACAACTGAATGAAAATCTAAGAAATCTACCTTCTCTTCAAAGTCGTCTGATGAGTACTCAACACTATCAGCCATGAGGCAACAATTTGCTTCCTCCTTTTGTTCTTCTTCAAATTCTGAGGAATCTAAGTCTTCCCAAGTACTCATGAGTACCTTCTTCTTTTCCCTTTTGGGAAAGACCATCTTCTTCTTTGACTTTTTCAAGTCAAGACATTCATACCCGAAATGCCCTGGTTTTCAGTAGCTCTAAAATTGATCTATATGCACTTCAGTTTTATCCAAATGACCTAATTTAGTATCTTTATCCCCATGATTGTTTGGAAAACATGTTTAAACATTTGGATTGGATATCAATTTGTTCATTTGGTCAATAACTCAGTTCACTAGACCAAACAAACACCTCACCACAGTCGCAAAAAACAAAATAAACATCCTAAAGACCTGATTTTGGTAAACTAAAAAGCTAACCAAGTTTTAAATGACACAAACACGGACTCTTAACATCAAGCTCACTCAATAAGTATTCCCATAGAATTTTACCCGTAAACCCACCAATTCTATATCACTTTCAACCAACATTCTAACCCATTACCCGAAACATAATTTAGTAGTAATGTTAGTTAATGATGACCTCAATTTCATCAATTCAGACAACCAAATCAAGTACCATTTAACAAGCAATCACATCAAAAATTTTCATAACAGACAACACAATTTTAGACCAAAATTACACAAATATACCATAACATAACATAATTTCGACAACCTCAAGCACACAAATTTAGCAACTCAATCCATTAAATCCAATCTAAGCATACCAACATATATTATCGTAGTACTTAAAAACTTAAAACAAGGTATTTAGCTTCCCTTACCTGACAAATGACCAAAACGCTTTAGGAATCTTAAAACAACTCCAAAGACACAAGAAACTTTATTTGCTCCTACGAACAAGAGAAACACGATCAGGGTATACCATTAGAACCACTAATCATCAAAGACTCAAAAGGCACATGCAAGTTGAGTGGAGCCCACATGCAACATATATAAGGAAAGATCAGAGAAAAGGGGTTGAAACTTAATTTACTCAAATAGATAAACTGATTGGTCTAAGTTGAAGAGCTCGCCATAAAAATCACTCCTAAGGTCTTGGTTCTTCAATTAGACACACATAAAAACTCCTAAAGAAAAATCAGAGAATTATAAAAAAATAGTTTATAGAGAAATGATGTGTTTTAAAATAATGAAACTCGTTCATAAAAAATTATTTATATTAAAACAATCAAGTCTCACTTTTTTAAACTATTACAATTATTAAAATATCATTTTCTAGGTCTTTACATGTTATATCTAATTTTCATTTTTATAATAATAATGTTTTCATTTTATTTCCCTCTCAATACGATGTGTATATACGAAAGAAATCAAGTTACATATTATCATTAACATTTTTTTCTTAATTTAATAGTAAAAAAAGTACTAGAAATATCATTAAATTACAAAAAAAAATCTATTAGATTAAAAATTACATTTTATATTTAATATCAAGTTATTAGATTTTCCATTTTTCTACAAAGAGTGGATGAAATACTTAAAAGAAATTGAAAATATTACTTATCATTTTTTTGCTTTTTAATTTAACATATTACCTTAGAGAAGTAAATTGAATAAAAGATTTATTATTTATAAAAAAATTATAAACTTACTAAATAAATTGAATTATATAAAAAATAATATAAATATTATATATACTAATTGAAGCACTGATTACTTTTTTTTTATATTGTAACAAAAAATTTATTAACATCTAAAATGTTTTTTATTAAGAAATTATAAAAATAAATAATTTATATAGTTTTTTATTATAATTATTAATGTATTCAAAAAATAATTATTAAAAAGGATAAAATTATAAAATAATTTTTATTATGAATAATTATTTAAATTTGAAAAGATAGTTTTAACGAGTATATATATATATATATATATATATATATATATATATATATATATATATATATATATCATTGGATAAATAAAAAGGTAAATTATTTACTTTTAAAATATTTTTTGTAATCTACTTTAAATATAAAAATATCATTGGATAAATAAAAAGGTAAATTATTTACTTTTAAAATATTTTTTGTAATCTACTTTAAATATAAAAAATAATATTTTTTTATAATATAACAAGTAACATACTTTTTTTTTCTTGTATTTTATTCTAATTACATTTTATTAGTTGATTAAATTCATTATTATTGTTTTAAAATATAAACTATGTAGGTACGGTAAAGAAAAGTTTCATATATAAATAAACTATATCATTCTTTAAAATAAATAAGTCTCATATATATATATATATATATATATATATATATACTGTATTTTAATATTCTTCCAAATTTAGTGCATTATATTTCATTTTCTAAATCATAGGCATTATATTAAAATTAACTAAAATTATCTACAAACTCAATCAAATAAACTATTACACCATTAGAACGCATCTTAAATATTATAAATAATTTTTCTTACACACCTCCATAAAAAAAAATCCAGACTAATAAAATGAAGTAAATAACAAGATAAGGTAATAATGTGTTATTAAGTCAGCAAACAATTTAAATCATCAGCAGAAAACAATATTTTCCACATATACCATCATGAAGTTATTTTTTTTTTCCTTAACAAATAATAAACTTACTTAGAATCACACAGTCTAATAAGTACATTAAAGCAAAATGATACTAAATATCATTTAATTTTTTTAAAATCTAAAATGTGATACATGAAAGGCAAAAGTCAACAAGACTTAAACAAACAAACAAGCACCCACGTTGGAGTACCAATAAACCTAGGGGTAAAAAGGGAAAAAAAGCGCGCTTAGAAGACCCCATAGTGTAAGCAAGGAAATGAAAGACTCAACCAGCCTCAGTCTCAGTCTATATAACACTCTCGTTACCACAGAGGGCACAAAAAATTGTGTTGAAAGTAAAATCAAATTTCTTCTTACTTCGCAGACACAAAGCAAGGATTTTCATCCCTTTCTCTCTCCCTCTCTGATTGGGGTTTCACTTTTTCTTCTTATCGTAATCCTTCGGATGTGTGTGCATCTTTTTCCTTTCTCTCTCATCTCTCAGGTACCTTACCAACAACTTGATCCAGTTTTTTCATACCAATTGCTGATTCGGTATCAGTTAATCGCTTTGGCGCAATCGCGGATTGTTATCGACCTATTCTGTTTCTTAAACTTGTTAGTTTGATCGTATTTCATAGGGATTGTGATTGGGTTTTGATTTTGCTTTTGTCTTTGGTTTTAGGTGGTGGTTCAGTGTACTGTTGAGGTGAGATGACAACCCTAAGATCGAGTTGGCCTTCGAGGTTGCGCCAGCTTTTGTCCAACGAGGGTGCCATTGGTCCTTCTGTTAAGTTGGAAACTGAGCCTGTGAGTGTGTCTTTTGTTTGACCTCTCTATCTAATATGCATTGTTTTGTTGTGTTTGCTAATAACAGGGATTAATGTTTTCTAATGATATGGTTTAAGGGGGAATCCATAGTTAGGGTTAAGATTCTTATTGCTTGACATTGATATATGACATGATAAAAAATGTAGCATGGGTGCCTTGATATGAATTGCATTCAAGGATAGAAGTTTGTGTTTTAGTTTTTGGCGGGTTCTGCCTTTCTGACTTCATTCATCTGATTGTGTTTGTGTGTGTTTTAGTTAGAACCTCTTTTTTTTGGTGTGTGTGTGTGTTTGTTATTAAGAGTTTTGTTTTCTAAAGAAAGTATTGGAACTTACTAATGTTTTTATGTAGAAGGATATTAGAGCACTATGCATTTTGTTGATTGTATTTAGTTATTTAGATAATCTGGTATATGCATTGTACTTGTGTTTGTTGATTGAAAGTTTGACAGTGTTGCTGGTATTTATGATTGGAAGTTGTTTTTTCTGTTGTAACTGTGTCAATTCTTAGGAAAAAGTTGATTCCTGTTTTGCTTCGACCACCAAATGCAATTTTATTTTTTAATTAGTAAAACATTTTACTGAGTTTATGTTTTCTTCAAATTGGTGTAAAGCTAGCAAAAATAGTTGTACATGGGATTAAATCGATAATCTTTGATTTGGAGTTCATTATTTAATACATTACTGTTTCTGTAGTTTATGTTTTGTTTGGCAGTGCGTTTGAAAGGTGAAATGAGCTCTCTCATTTTAGTCTTACATGAACTGAATTGGGATTTGTCTCAAAACTATTAACCACTAACTAGAAAAGTTAGAATAAGCAACTCACTTGTGTACTTGTTTGAATTTTGGCTGTTGTATTTGATTTTTTCAATTCATTTTAATACTTCTTTCTACCATTGTTATATGCAGTATAGAAGATGCCTTTGCTACTAGTTTGTTTAAAATATTGGCAAATGAAGCATAGTTAGTTACGGTGTTTTAAATTTATAAGCTGATGTATTCATCACTGAACTAAATAATATATAGTTACGATAATGATATTTTTACTAGTTTGTTACCTCAAAATTTGAGTATATTAAACTGTTACTGGTTCACCTTAATTGTTGATTTTACCAGTCACTTACTAAAGCTGGTTTAATCAGCATGTAATCGTCTGTTTCTCGTAAAAGTTGTGCTATGCATAAATTTATGTAAGTATTGATAGAACTGAGGCCTCCTGGATGCATTTTTGTTGTTAAACATTGAATATTAGAATATGATTCATAAGCTGCAATTCTACTCTATTTTACTTGCAAGTAGTTTATCTTTTATCATTATTTACTGTCCATTTGCATCTCAGGTACTCGAGACCACGAGAGAATACTGCCTGTGTAGTAGAATGTAGAGTAGTCATGGCTTCTGTCCCCCTCTTAACTGACTCAGTGATAGTTAGAGAGTTATAATGTTGGAAGTCATTTTGGACAAGGGAGTTCATTCAGAATTTAGAGAACTCTCTAGTTTACTCTTATTTTCTAGCTTCTTATTTTTTGTTGCATTCTCTACATTTTATCACTGAAGCATATGGTTTTGTATTCATTGTTTCTGTTAGTTCTGTTGGGACACTAACCAACTTAGAGATAGTAAGTCAGTTATCTTCAAGAGAGCCCATCACCTTGTTCTTTCAAAATATTAAATGCAAAATTTAAGAGAACTCCCAAGTTTACTCTTATTTTCTCACTAATGTAGATATTCTAATATATTGATTTCATGTTGTGTACTGTGTATCTTAGGCTTTGATAGGTTACATCAGTTTAATTTTCTATATACAGAATACAGAAGTGTGAACATACCCTGTTACTCATTAAGAAATAGCAGCTTGTGGCTTTTGAACAGCTTTAGGTTTTGGTACTTCTTTCTTTGCATGCATTGTTTATAGTGGCAATTACCAGGACTCTTCATTTAAATTGTGCATGCTCCATTTATATTAATTCCTTTTGGTAATATTAATATTATTTGGTGACAATTTTCTTTTACTAAACATTTGAGTAATACTGTTACTCATCAGTCAACACTGATTGTGACAAACAAATTTATGATGTTGAATATATTTGCAGATTTGCTTCAACTGCATTTCATATTTTGTATTCTTATGTTCCTTTGTATTTATTTAGATGTTATATTTTTTTACACATGTTCATTCATTTCCTTACCCAACATCCATGTGATGTCATTTTATTTTGGTGGTTGACTGGTTTCAGCCTCCTAAGATCAAAGGATTCATTGAGAAGATTATCAAATGTCCATTACAAGATATTGCCATACCGCTTTCTGGCTTTCGGTGGGAGTACAATAAGGTATTGCCATTTTAGTCTGATGGTTTGTTGGAATGAGTAATTTATTTTATTTTCCCAGTGCTTAAGCCTTTCTTTTATATCAGGGGGATTTCCATCACTGGAGACCATTGTTGCTTCATTTTGAGACATACTTCAAGACTTATTTGTCATGTAGAAACGATTTGACTTTGTTAGATAATCTAGAAGACGACAGCCCATTACCAAAACATGCAATTCTGCAAATATTACGAGTGACACAAATAATTTTAGAGAACTGTGCAAACAAAAGTTCCTTTGATGGCTTAGAGGTTAGTTTGTCAATTGTGTATTATCAATTCCTGGTCTTAATTGATATATTTTTCTTAATTCCTTCCCCTGTGTGTTTTACTCAAGTGATTTATTTTTTTATATTTTAAACTTTTATGTCTGATATTTTATATTTATCCTTTCCTCTTCAGCATTTCAAGCTTTTACTTGCATCGACAGATCCTGAGATTCTTATTGCTGCCTTGGAAACTCTTTCTGCGCTTGTAAAAATTAACCCCTCTAAGCTTCATGGAAGTACAAAGATGATTTGCTGTGGTTCGGTGAACAGCTATCTTTTGTCTCTAGCTCAGGGCTGGGGAAGCAAGGAGGAGGGTTTGGGATTGTACACTTGTATTATGGCAAATGAGGATGCCCAAGATGAAGCACTGAGCTTATTTCCTTCTGATATTACAAAGATTGGTCATGACCAATCAAATTATCGCATAGGTACTACCCTTTATTTTGAATTGCATGCTCCCAGTGCCCAGAGCAAGGAACAAAGTGCAGAGGCAGTTTCCACTGGCACAACAGTTATACACATGCCAGATTTGCATCTGTGCAAAGAAGATGATTTGTCATTGATGAAGCAGTGCATTGAACAATATAGCATTCCTTCTGAGCTCAGATTTTCCTTGCTCACTAGAATCAGATATGCTCGGGCCTTTCGGTCTCCTAGAATATGCAGGCTTTACAGCAGAATTTGCCTACTGGCTTTCATTGTTCTAGTGCAGTCTGGTGATGCCCAGGATGAACTTGTCTCCTTTTTTGCTAATGAACCAGAATATACAAATGAATTGATTAGAATTGTCCGATCAGAGGAAGTTGTATCTGGATCTATTAGAACACTTGCAATGCTTGCTTTAGGAGCTCAATTAGCAGCATGTACATCATCACATCATCGAGCCCGGATACTCAGTGGATCAAATTTAACTTTTGCTGGTGGGAACCGCATGATACTCCTGAATGTGCTCCAAAGGGCTATTTTGTCATTGAAGAGTTCTAATGATCCATCATCCCTTACCTTTGTTGAAGCACTTCTTCAGTTCTATCTGCTCCATGTGGTTTCAACCTCAACCTCTGCAAATAATATTAGAGGTTCTGGTATGGTACCTACTTTCTTGCCTTTGCTGGAGGATTTTGATCCTACACATATTCATCTTGTCTGTTTTGCTGTGAAAACTCTTCAGAAGCTTATGGATTATAGCAGCTCATCTGTATCATTGTTTAGAGAATTGGGGGGCATTGAACTTTTGACTCAAAGATTACAGAAAGAGGTACACAGAGTCATTGGTTTGGTTGGAGAAACTGATAGCATGATGCTTACTGGTGAAAGCTTTAGACATAATCCTGATCAATTGCACTCCCAGAAGAGGCTCATAAAGGTCTCCCTTAAGGCTCTTGGTTCTGCAACATATGCACCTGCAAACTCTACCAGATCTCAGCATTCTCATGACAGTTCATTACCAACAACTCTCAGCTTGATTTTTCAGAATGTAGATAAGTTTGGTGGTGACATCTATTATTCGGCTGTTACTGTTATGAGTGAAATAATCCACAAAGATCCAACATGCTTTTCTGTTCTGCATGAAATGGGTCTTCCTAATGCATTTTTATTGTCAGTTGGGTCTGACATACTTCCTTCATCAAAGGCTTTGACATGCATTCCAAATGGTCTTGGGGCTATTTGTCTCAATGCCAAAGGGTTAGAGGCTGTTAGAGAATCTTCATCACTACGGTTCCTTGTTGACATTTTCACTAGCAAGAAGTATGTTTTAGCAATGAATGAGGCTATTGTTCCTTTGGCAAATGCTGTGGAGGAACTTCTACGTCATGTATCTTCACTGAGAAGCACCGGAGTTGATATTATCATTGAAATCATCCATAAGATTGCATCCTTTGGGGATGGAAAAAATATAGGGTCTTCTGGAAAAGCTGAGAGCACTGCAATGGAAACAGATTCTAAAAACAAAGAAAATGAAGGCCACTGTTGCATTGTTGGTACATCAAGTTCAGCTGTAGAAGGGATAGGTGATGAGCAGTTTATTCAGCTATGTGTCTTTCATTTGATGGTATTGGTTCAAAGGACTATAGAAAATGGTGAGACATGCCGGTTGTTTGTTGAAAAATTAGGAGTTGAAGCTTTGTTGAAGTTGTTGTTACGCCCCTCTATTGCACAATCCTCAGATGGCATGTCTATTGCTTTACATAGCACTATGGTATTTAAAGGGTTTGCTCAACATCATTCCATTCCTCTGGCACGTGCCTTTTGTTCTTCCCTTAGGGTGCACTTGAAGAAAGCTTTAGAGGGATTAGGTGCAACATCTGAACCTTTGTTGCTAGATCCAAGGATGTCATCTGATGGTGGCTTCTTTTCTTCACTTTTTGTGGTTGAGTTCCTTCTATTTCTCGCGACATCAAAAGACAATCGTTGGGTGACTGCATTGCTTACGGAATTTGGAAATGAGAGTAAGGATGTTCTTGAAGATATTGGGCTTGTACATCGTGAAGTTCTGTGGCAAATTGCTCTACTTGAAAATAGAAAGCCTGAGGATGACGAAGATGGTATTTATTCTTCTAATTCACAACAGGCAGAAGGGGATGCAAGTGAAAGTGAAGAGCAAAGATTCAATTCTTTCAGGCAGTTTCTTGATCCATTATTAAGAAGGAGAACACCAGGATGGAGCATTGAATCTCAGTTTTTTAACCTTATAAATCTTTATCGAGATTTAGGCCGTTCCCCTGGTTCTCAGCATAGATCAATTTCAATTGGGCCATCTAACATGCGGTCAAGTTCTAGTAACCAGGTCCAGCATTCTGGGTCAGATGATACTTCTGAGACTGCTCATAAGAAGGAATCTGACAAGCAGAGACCATATTATACCTCCTGTTGTGACATGGTCAGATCACTTTCATTTCACATTTCCCATTTATTCCAAGAGTTAGGAAAAGTAATGTTGCTACCTTCGCGACGACGGGATGATGTAGTAAATGTAAGTCCTGCCTCCAAATCAGTGGCTTCTACTTTTGCAACCATTGCTTTTGATCACATGAACTATGGTGGCCGTTGTGTAAATCTTTCTGGAACAGAAGAATCCATATCAACAAAATGTCGATATTTTGGGAAGGTGATTGATTTTATGGATAATATTCTAATGGAGAGGCTAGACTCATGCAACCCTATTCTGCTGAATTGCTTGTATGGACGTGGTGTTATTGGAATTGTATTAACTACCTTTGAAGCTACCAGTCAGCTGCTCTTTACAGTTAATCGGGCCCCTGCTTCACCCATGGATACTGATGATGCAAATGCAAAGCAAGATGACAAGGAAGATTCAGATAGTTGGATTTATGGCTCGTTGGCTAGTTATGGGAAATTGATGGACCATCTAGTGACTTCTTCTTTTATATTGTCATCATTCACAAAGCATTTGCTTGCACAGCCCCTCACTAATGGTGATACACCTTTCCCAAGGGATGCTGAGACTTTTGTGAAGGTCCTTCAATCCAGAGTAATGAAGACTGTAATTCCTGTTTGGACTCATCCCCAGTTTGTTGACTGTAGTTACGAATTTATCTCTACAGTTATTTCTATAATTAAGCATGTCTACACAGGCATTGAAGTTAAAAATGTGAATGGTAGTGGTGGTGCTCGTATTACTGGGCCACCTCCTAATGAAACAACTATTTCAACCATTATAGAGATGGGTTTTACAAGGTCTAGAGCAGAAGAAGCTTTGAGGCAAGTTGGGTCAAATAGTGTGGAGTTGGCAATGGAGTGGTTGTTCTCTCATCCAGAGGAGACACAAGAAGATGATGAACTTGCCCGTGCACTTGCCATGTCCCTTGGAAACTCTGAATCAGATTCAAAGGATGCAGCTGCTAATGACAATACCCAACATCTTGAGGAAGAGATGGTCCAACTTCCTCCTGTTGATGAGTTGCTATCTACTTGTACAAAACTTTTGTCAAAGGATCCACTTGCTTTTCCAGTCCGTGACTTGCTTGTGATGATTTGCTCTCAGGATGATGGTCAACATAGAACTAATGTAGTCTCTTTTATTGTGGAACGGATAAAAGAATGTGGTTTGGTTTCTAACAATGGAAATTATGCCATCCTGGCTGCTCTTTTTCACGTTCTTGCCTTAATTCTTAATGAGGATTCTTTAGCTAGGGAAGCTGCATCCAAGAGTGGTATGATTAAAATTACCTCTGACCTACTGTTCCAGTGGGATTCTAGTCTAGATAGCAGGGAGAAGCAGCAGATACCAAAATGGGTCACTGCTGCTTTCCTAGCACTGGACAGGTTGTTGCAAGTGGATCAAAAATTGAATTCTGAAATTACTGAGCAGTTGAAGAAGGAACCTGTGAATAACCAGCAGGTATCAATTACCATTGATGAAGACAGGCAAAACAGGTTGCAGGCTGCATTTGGACTCGGTATGAAGTATGCTGACATACATGAACATAAGAGACTTGTTGAGATTGCTTGTAGTTGTATGAAGAATCAGCTTCCATCCGATACAATGCATGCTGTTCTGTTACTGTGTTCCAATCTTACAAGGAATCATTCTGTAGCTCTTACCTTTTTGGATGCTGGTGGTCTAAGTCTACTTCTTTCTTTGCCAACCAGCAGCCTCTTCCCTGGGTTTGATAATGTTGCTGCCAGTATTGTTCGTCATATTCTTGAAGATCCACAAACACTCCAACAAGCGATGGAATCTGAGATAAAGCATAGTCTTGTAGTTGCGTCCAACCGGCATCCAAATGGAAGGGTCAATCCTCATAATTTCCTTTCAAATTTAGCTTCTGTGGTTTCTCGGGATCCAGCAACTTTTATGCTAGCTGCTCAATCTGTGTGTCAAGTTGAAATGGTAGGTGAGAGGCCGTACATTGTCTTGTTGAAAGACAAGGATAAAGACAAAGCTAAGGAGAAAGATAAAGTACAGAACAGTGATGGGAAAGTTAGTTTGGGAAATACAACCTCACCTGCTATCAATGGAAAAGTTCATGATTCAAATACCAAGAGTGCCAAAGGTCACAAAAAGCCTTCCCAAAGCTTTGTTAATGTAATAGAACTTCTTCTTGAATCTATTTGCACTTTTGTTCCCCCTTTGAAGGATGACATTGCTTCAAATGCTCTTCCTGGAACTGCAGCATCAACTGATATGGAAATTGATGTCTCCTTGGCTAAAGGAAAAGGAAAAGCTGTTGCCAACATGTCCGAGGACAATGAAACCGGTAGTCAGGATGCTTCTGCATCACTTGCAAAGACTGTCTTCATTCTAAAGCTTCTGACAGAGATATTATTGATGTATTCATCATCTGTTCATGTTCTACTTCGACGAGATGCTGAAATGAGCAGCATTAGGGGTTCTTATCAAAAGAGTCCTGCAGGTTTAAGCATGGGTGGGATATTTTATCATATTCTTCATAATTTTCTTCCATATTCTAGAAACTCAAAGAAGGACAAGAAAGTTGATGGGGATTGGAGGCAAAAACTAGCAACCAGGGCCAACCAGTTTTTGGTGGCTGCTTGTGTTCGATCCACAGAGGCAAGGAAAAGGGTTTTTAATGAGATTAGTTATATCATCAATGAATTTGTTGATTTATGTCATGGCATTAGGAGTCCAGGCAATGAAGTTCAGGTTTTTGTTGATCTATTGAATGATGTTTTGGCTGCACGTACACCTGCTGGTTCATCCATCTCAGCTGAGGCTACCACCACTTTTATTGATTCTGGATTGGTTAAACCATTCACTTGTACTATACAAGTTTTGGACCTTGACCATCCTGATTCATCTGAAGTTGCTACTGGTATTATTAAAGCTCTTGAATTGGTAACCAAGGAGCATGTCCATTCAGTTGACTCTAGTAAGGGTGATATTTCTGCAAAACCTTCTGTTCTAAGTCAACCTGGAAGAACTGATAATATTGGTGAGATCTCTCAGTCCATGGAAACGACCTCACAAGCCAATCCCGATTCCCTTCAAGTTGACCATGTCAGATCTTATGCAGTTCGTTCCTATGGTGATGGTTCAGAAGTTGTTACTGATGACATGGAACATGATCAAGATTTTGATGGAAGTTTTGCTCCTGGTAATGAGGATGATTACATGCATGAGAATTCCGAGGATGCAAGAGATCTTGAAAATGGAATGGAAAATGTGGGTCTACAGTTTGAAATTCAACCTCGTGGCCAAGAAAACCTTGATGAAGATGATGATGATATGTATGGTGATAAAGGTGAGGATGTGGATGAAAAAGAGGAGGATGACGAGGAACACAATGATTTGGAAGAAGTCCATCATTTGCCACTTCCTGACACAGATCAAGATGAACATGAGATTGAAGATGAAGATTTTGATGATGAAGTGATGGAGGAAGAGGATGAGGATGATGAGGAAGATGAAGATGGTGTTATACTGCGACTTGAGGAGGGAATTAATGGAATTAATGTTTTTGACCATATTGACGTTTTTGGCAGAGATAATAGTTTTGCAAATGAGGCGTTTCATGTGATGCCACTTGAAGTTTTCGGATCTAGACGTCCTGGACGAACAACATCTATTTATAGTCTTTTGGGCAGAACTGGTGATACTACATTGCCTTCTCGTCATCCACTATTGCTTGAACCTTCTTCTTTTCCCCCACTTACTGGGAAATCAGGCTAGTTTCTCTGAGTTTTCTTGTTATTGATAATCTATTTCAACAATGGTTTTTTCTTAGCTTATTAGTTATTTCAAGACTTGATATTTTTAATGACATTTGGGATTTTTGGTATCTTGTTTAAATATTACAGATAGTTCATTGGAGAACAGCTCAGTGGGTTTGGATAATATATTTCGATCCCTGAGAAGTGGACGCCAAGCACAACGTTTGCATTTGTGGACTGATAATTACCAGCAAAGTGGTGGGACAAGTGCTGTTGTTGTTCCACAAGGCCTTGAGGAGTTGCTTGTGAATCAATTGAGGCGACCAAGTGCTGAAAAGTCATCCAATCAGAACATAGCAGAAGCAGGCTCTCATGCTAAAGTTGGAATCACCCAGGCACAGGATGCAGGAGGTGCAATGCCTGATGTCCCCGTTGAAAGTGATCCTATTCTGGAAGTTAGTACAACAACTCCTTCAGTCATTGATAATAGTAACAACGTAGATGCAAGACCAACAGGGACTGGTCCTTCACAAGCAAATGTTTTAAGCACACAATCTCAGGCAGTTGAGATGCAATTTGAACATAATGATGGGAATGTGAGAGATGTTGAAGCTGTCAGCCAGGAGAGTAGTGGTAGTGGAGCAACTTTTGGTGAAAGCCTTAGGAGCTTGGATGTTGAGATTGGAAGTGCTGATGGCCATGATGATGGTGCTGAAAGGCAGGTTTCTGCAGATAGGATAGCAGGTGATTCACAGGCTGCCCGCACCAGAAGAGCAAACATTCCTTTGACTCAATTTTCTCCTGTGGTTGGAAGAGATGCGTCCCTTCACAGTGTTACTGAAGTTTCTGAAAATTCAAGCCATGATGCAGACCAAGATGGTCCAGCAGCAGCAGAACAACCGGTAAACAGTGATGCGGGATCAGGAGCTATTGATCCTGCTTTTCTTGATGCCCTTCCTGAGGAGCTGCGTGCTGAAGTCCTCTCAGCTCAGCAGGGTCAAGCAGCTCAGCCATCAAATGTTGAGTCTCAAAACACTGGGGATATTGATCCAGAGTTCCTTGCTGCTCTTCCAGCTGATATTAGAGCAGAAGTTTTAGCTCAGCAGCAAGCACAGAGATTGCATCAGTCTCAGGAACTGGAAGGGCAACCTGTGGAAATGGATACAGTCTCAATAATTGCAACTTTTCCATCAGACTTACGAGAAGAGGCAAGTTTATACTTTCACTATTATATAAAAATGAGACTCTGTGATTTTAAGTTCTTTCCCCTTTTCAGGTTCTGTTAACATCACCAGATACTATCCTTGCCAATCTTACACCTGCTCTTGTTGCTGAGGCAAATATGTTGCGGGAGAGGTTTGCTCATCGTTACAGTCGTACTATGTTTGGTATGTATCCTAGAAGTCGTAGAGGGGAGACTTCAAGACGAGAAGGTGTTGGTTCTGGTCTGGATGCAGCTGGGGGAACCATTTCTTCTCGCCGGTCTGGTGGAGCCAAGGTTGTTGAAGCTGATGGAGCACCTCTTGTTGATACAGAAGCTTTGCATGCTATGATTCGGTTATTTCGCGTAGTGCAGGTATTACTTTGTGAAGTCCTTCAAATAAGAGTCATTCTTTATTCTCCATAATAATTAGTTGTTTATTTTTTTGCAGCCACTCTACAAGGGCCAACTACAGAGGCTTCTTTTAAATCTTTGTGCTCATAGTGAAACGAGAATCTCTCTAGTGAGAATTCTGATGGACTTACTGATGCTTGATGTTAAAAGACCTGTCAGTTATTTAAGTAAAGTTGAACCACCATATAGATTATATGGTTGTCAGAGCAATGTAATGTATTCACGTCCTCAATCTTTTGATGGTAAGAATACTTGATTATGCAACATAAATACAGTTTGTCATTGGTGCTTATTGTTGTGAATCTTCCCAGTTATAATTTGTCTGAAATGTATTTTATTTTCTTATTTCATGAGCTTTTGCATACCGGAGTGTCCATCTTTAATGTTTAGTCTTTTTCTTGGCAATGGATTTATTTATACCTTTCATATTGTTTAATCACATAGGAGTTCCCCCATTGCTGTCTCGTAGAATACTTGAAACTCTCACTTATCTTGCTCGCAATCATCTGTACGTGGCTAAAATTTTGCTTCAGTTCAGACTACCTCACCCTACAATAAAAGAACCAGTTGACGAACGGGGAAAAGCTGTGATAGTTGGTGAAGGTGAAGAAAATATAAGTGAAAGTAATGAAGGGTACATCTCCATTGCAATGCTTTTGGGTCTCTTGAACCAACCACTTTATTTGCGGAGCATAGCCCATCTTGAGCAGGTGATGCTTTGGTTTTATTGGCATCTTTGTCATTTAATTTCACGTACCATCAGAGTTTCAGCCAGTGCTGACATAATTATCATGTATCTGTGGTGTGTTTTCAGCTGCTAAATTTACTGGATGTTATCATTGATAGTGCTGGAAACAAGTCATCTGACAAGTCCCTGATATCTACTACCCTGCCATCAGGTCCACAAATTTCTGCTGTGGAGGCAGACGTGAATGCAGATTCTAATATTTTATCACCTAGGGATGACACATCTACTGATGTTGAGGGTTCCTCCAAACCCACATCTTCTGGTCATAATGTCGAATGTGATTCCCATGGAGTGTTGAGTAATCTTCGAAAAGTAGAACTCCGACTCCTTTGCTCCCTACTCGCACAAGAAGGGTATGTGTTTGGCCTATGCTTGTTGTCAACATATCTGCCATTTGTGTATATTGTCATAATGACTAGGAGATTTTGTGTTCTTGACAGTGTAAGGGTGGGGGTGGTTTAACTCGTGACTTATAAGCATTAAAGTACTTTAGAAATAGTCAGCTTTATTGATATATGCATTTGCTTGCATATTTGTTTGTAATGCCACTGTTGAAGTAATCACCAATTAGAGCTTCTGGCTATAACTGTTGATATACAAAGTTGTTTTATTAACCTTGGAGTTGATCTGACATTTTGTGCATTACTATCAGATTGTCAGATAATGCATATACCCTTGTTGCGGAGGTAATGAGGAAATTAGTGGCCATAGCTCCAAATCATTGTGAGCTTTTTGTCACTGAGCTGGCAGAAGCAGTTCAAAAGTTGACTTCATCTGCAATGAATGAGTTACATGTATTTGGTGAAGCAATGAAATCACTGCTCAGTACTAATTGAAGCTCCATCCGTAGAAGTAGTACTTAGCAATGAAATCACTGCTCAGTACTACTTCTACGGATGGAGCTTCAATTTTGAGAGTTTTGCAAGCCTTGAGTTCACTTGTAACTTTACTGACTGGGAAGGAGAATGATAAAGGTATTCCTGCCCTTTCTGAGGTTTGGGAAATCAATTCAGCATTAGAGCCTTTGTGGCATGAGCTGAGCTGTTGCATAAGTAAGATAGAATTTTACTCCGAGTCTGCATCCGAGTCTTTGACATCTTCTAGTACATTTGTGTCTAAACCGTCTGGTGTGATGTCTCCACTACCAGCTGGTTCTCAAAATATATTACCGTACATTGAATCTTTCTTTGTGGTCTGTGAGAAATTGCATCCTGCTCAGCCAGGTGCTAGTCATGAATCAAGTATTCCTGTTATTTCTGATGTTGAGTATGCTAGCACATCTGCTCCCCAGAAAGCATCTGGAACTTCTGCAAAAGTAGATGA